TTTCTTCAAACTTCCATTATTAGTACTTTTTGCAATAGAATAATTTTTTTAAATGTTTTATACTTAATTTTTTTCAATTTACTTTTTAGTTATCCACTTAACTAACTTATAACTTTTTGTCTTTGAGAACAACGGCATATTGTAAATACATTTATCAATATTATTTACTATAATAAATATACTATACTTAACTAGCCAATTTAAATTACCACAGTAATTGAACATAGTTTGTGAATGCTGTGGCCTGTAAGCTGTAAGGCAGAAAAAATTCCAATGGCAGTGGTAGATATCGTCTAGTTGTCCAGTTCGATAGGAATACATCGTTTTGAATTAAGCCGAACACATAATCCCAAATTAACCACTGCAGCTGTCATAAGCCGCAGCATGCTGAGGTCAACCTGAATGGTTTATTACCGCTTAGGCTGTAACTGGGTAGTGTGCTCATCTTCACACACTAAGAGGATTGGTTAGGTGTGGACTTCTAGATTTGCACATTTTTTATTCCATATAACCATATATATTTTCTATGATATAACTCCAGTTTTATAGTTTTGTTCAAAAACTTAACAATAATTCTATTTGCTTGATCTTTATTTACTTAAGTTTGGTAGATAATAAAGATATTTATCATAAGATACATCAGTAACATTTAAATTTAAGGTTAAGTTTATTTGACAAAGTAATAAAAATATCTAACACTCATTTGTTTAAAAAACCGGTATTCACAATGATATTTTAATGTAATTAAGTCGGTAATGGTCAAATATATTAGCACTTATAAGCTATAGTTAGATATTTAGATTTAAAGCTATCAATTTCTACTTGCTATTTGTATTACTTCTTGTCTAATTCAGATAACGACTTGTCAATTATAGATGTTTAACCTTACTTATAACCTTACTTATACCATCTTTAACATCAGCCAGACTATTCAAACTAACATTTTCAAAGCTGTTATTATATGAAATATTATGCTATTTGCTTTTTGCAAAATTTAGTTTAACCTACCATTCACTAAAAAAATTAATTTCTAATAGCAATGTCAGTATTTTAAATACCTATGCTTATAAATATTGGCTGACAAATAAATCTATGCAAGATTTATCATTTAATTCTAATTTAATACATCTGTTAAAGCAGTAGATTTTTCAATGAAGAGTATCTTTATTTTTTTGCAATTTTCTAATTATAATTTTAGTTAAATTTAAAAATATTACATTATTGATACTTACTTCACAGTTAAGCACTTTTTGTAGATGTAATTCACTGTACTTGATTTTAAATTGTATAATGGACTAGCAGATAGACAACATCTATACAATACCTAACCAATGACCTATTTACACAAGATAAGATCACATATTGGAATTTACTTTAACTGTACCCATATAAATAAACTTATAAATTTAAACACATAGATAGAGAAAAAGCGATTGAGAGAGTTGAGCATTTATTTATTTCAGCCAAATTAATTACAATAAATTACATTATTAATAGGTGATACCAACTAAGCTATGTACTTAAGCTTGTATCCAGTACACGGAGTTTGTGGATATTATAATTTGTTTTAAAGTAAAATACTTGTGTAGTTAAAAATAATACGACTTAATTAAGGAAATATAACATAGTAGATAGATATTTTAGAAACAAATTAACATCAGTGTTACATATGGAATAAGATATATTTTAACATATTGATTTTTTATAATTTTATTACTACACACATTCTCATCAAGTTCATAAACTTTTATATTGGATTTTTATAAATTATATCAAAGGTATTATTAGGTTGACTTTCACATAAACTTTTTATTAGACTATTTACTTCATCTTTACTTAAATTGTTAAAAATAGTTTCCTAATGTAATTGAGGGAGTTTCTTGAACTTGTCATGTATATGATAGTTTAATATATTTTCCCATTTTTCAGTCTATTCCTGTAGCTTTAAATGCGTTGTTTTGCATGGATTTTATTAAAATTTGTCTAATGTATAATTTATAAACAGATAATATATTTGAATGGTTTAATAATTCACCTTACGGGTATTTTAATGGTAGGGAGTACGCTAATTTTACAAAAATATTTTAGGTAATATGCAATGTATAATGTAGTTCTATTTTTTCCCAATATGTTATGAAATCTAATAGAATTGAATTACAACAGTGCTTTGTATATTTGTCTTATAGTTGATTTATCAATAAATACATTTTTTGTAAAACAATACAGTTGAACTCCTCTCATTTTATTTTTAATATTCTGCGAAGTAATAATTATGTTCTGACCATTTCAGATTAAAATCTATTATCACTTAATATGTATTTGAATGATAATACTATATAAATTGGTTTACAACTGCTATTTGTCATACCAGTGTGTATTATAACATTGTATCCAGCAAGAAGATGTGAACAAATTGTTATTCGTCTATTAATGTATTTAAGGGTGTTGCAAAATATGAGTCAACTATGTATGTTGCACTAGTATGTTGTAAATAAATAAATAAATAAATAAATTGTAGTCTTAAGGTGTTAAGTTGGATATTAAATTATTGACTATCATTTATAATATCATTAAGCAGAAGCCCTGCAGAATTAATTTTTTTTCAATTGTTCTTTAGACGTCCAAATAAGTATTGTTCATTTATTTCTATATGCTCTGTAATAATTTATTGATTTTTGATTCAATGTATCCTTTATGATTTTCTTATTAAGTTTATCTTTATTATTTATTGATGTTACAATACCACTGGTAATCCATGGTTTTAAAATATGATTTTTCCTACTTTATAGGTACTTTGATACAATACAGTAGTTAATTGTGCCAAATATGTTGGCTTCAAATAATCCAGTGAATTTGATATAGGATAACAATCTAACTGCTGTATTGTAACCAATATATTATGATGTTCAACTTGAATAATTATCTAAGGATTTGTTATTTGCTTTCAAGATTTTTAAACTACCTATAATTGTGTAATGATCTGTTATACTAGTCTTAATTACTGCTGGAATGAGTTTAAAATTTCAACTATTAAATATATTTACTTAAAGAGAGAGTGAAAAAGAGAGAGTTAAGCAAATTACAACAAATAATGTAACTGCATACAAAGTACAACTTACATTTATTCTGAATATGTATTACGAAATTCCTTATAAGTTATTGTAATGGCAAAAAAAAAAACATCAAAAATACAATCATAATATTTGTTATGACATTTTGAAGTTTGAAATTGGAAAATCTGGTAATATAACTGATATAGATAGTTATGAGATGAACAATCTAGATAACATCAATAGATATTGTCAATAATTTGGTTAAACATATTTAGTAGTTAAGTAGTTTGAGATTCTTATAACTTTGAATGCTACATCATTCATACCAACAAAATTTATATCAGTAATACCCAACAGTAGAATAAATTTAACAAGCTAAAATATTCAACTTATAAACCTCAAATAATGAAATAATGCTAAAAAAATCAAAATAAAATAACAAAATGACACTTGGCCGAATACATATTTTTATGAAACTTTTTAGATGGTTGTAAAATGTAATTTGTAATCTATAGCATAGAAGTCGCTGTTGTAAAAATTGCATCACTATCATTTTAAGATTATGTAATGTTCCTAGATAATAAGTTAACCTACCATGTGCAACATTGTCATCTGTTGTGTTATAAATAGTACTATGTAATATAAACACGTGGGTGGCGTTGTATTATCAAGATCTGAATTGAAATAAATAATTTATAAAACAATGACTTGGTATGACGTGTTCAGTTTATTCATTTAAGACAAGAAAAACATTACATAGTGCAGTTGATAGGAAGCATAATACTAGCTCTGGCAATATTGGACATAGGTAACCCTCCAATGATGATTGTTAATAAATTAAAATTATTTAAGACAAAATTTCAGGTGTACTTAAGAGCAAATAGCTTGGATTTAAAAGTGGAGAAATTGTAAGTCACTATATTACTTAGTGTAATAGGTGAGGAAGCCTATGAGTTATTTGATTTTTTAAAAATAACCAGTGTGGAAAAGGCAGATACTGTAGATGGAATCTTTGAAGCCATTCACCAATCTAAACCACTCACTCAAGATCAACAACCACATAATGTAGAAATTATTAATTACAAAAAAGCCAATTATAATGAAATCATCAACAATCTATTCCACATTAACTGGTACTCCTTATTAAACAATCCAGACGTAAATATTAACAGGGAACTTCTATAAGAAATTAAATTCAATCATAGAAACACACACACCAAAATCCAAAATATTCAAATCCACTTTCCCTAAATGGTAAAATTATACACTTATCAATTCAATTAGAGAAAAAAAAATGATCCATACAAATTATAAAAATAACCTAACTACCTCTGATGTAGATCAACAGTCGCCAACCTCTTTCAATTCTCCAATTCCATTAATAATGCATTTATTGAAAAAAAGACAAGTTGATGTTATATACACCGATTTAAGTAAAGCTTATGACCGTGTAAACCATCTTATACTTATTCAAAAACTAGAACCCATAGATCTTCATAACAACATATCAAGTTGGTTCAAATCTTACTTGAGTGACAGGGTAAATTATGTTAATATGTACAGTGTACTCTGTAAACCCATTCAGGTAACTCCAGGATGCCCCCGAGGAGGACTTTTATCAGCTATATATTTAAATAATTTTATACCTAAAAACTAACATGGAATTAAACACTGACGATATGAAATTAATAATGTACGTAAACCACCTGGATGATTCCTGCACCCTACAACACAACATTAATCTTCTCTCCTATAGGCGCAAATTTAATGATAATATGGAATTAAGAGGACGTGATACCTGCATGTGTTTTATTATGTTTTTATTTTAACGCGAGTTATAAGTATTTTAAGATATATAAAAAATTTACAATTTTAAAATACTCATAGCTCACGTTAAAATTAAAATATATTAAAAAACCTAAGAGGTTGCCTAGATAATAATCTTACCTTTAGATTTTATTAGAGGTCAGTTCACTTTAATTTTTAAATTAACGGAGCTACACGTGTTCTGTTGAGCGTAAAATTTGCTATGTTACGCACTTGTGAGACAGAGACAACACATGCCGGTATCACGTCCTCTTAAAATCCTGCAAAGTGTAAAAAAATCACATTTTGAAGAAAAGTACATTATTTACACTTCAATAATAATATTAAAGGTTCTCCAATAACAGAAACACAATCAATAAAAGATCTAGGAGTCATTTTAGATAGTAAACTATATTTTAAAGAACACATGGGTTATACTACAAATAAAGCCAAACAAATGTCAGGATTTGTAAAAAGACACTTTAAAGAGTTAAATACTACAGCAATCAAGATCTTATATACTTCTTTAATAAGCTCACATCTAGAATATGCTAGTATTATATGGAACCCTGCGCTTAATATAGATTCTTCAAACATTGAAAAAGTACAAGATCAATTTTGTAGATATATCAAGTTTAAACAATCCGAAACATACACCAATCACACTAAAAATACTATCTTGATACTCTTAAAAGCCAGAAGAACCATAAACGACCTTGTATTTTTTTATAAAATTGTACTTAGTTTAATAGATGCCCCTAACATTTTAGAATAGTTTAAGTTCTGTGTACCCACAAGAACTAAGTCTTCAACAACTCTTACATGTCCTTACATCAAAAACTAATAGAATGCAAGGTTCTATCGTTAATCGAATTTCTAGCGAAGTAAACATAATTCACACCAAAATCTGTGTATTCCATCTCACCTTAAACCAATTCACAAATAAAGTACATCAAATTTATTATAATTATTATATTCTCATCCATACCTACACTATATACTTTAATATTATTTTATACAATTTTTTTTTTCTTTTCATTTTTTAATTATGTATCATATTCTTGTTAGATACCACTATGTATTAAACTAATAATTATTATCATATATATATATATAAATATATATATCCTATATTATTATATTTACCAAAAGAGTGTCCACCCGTTGATTTAGAAATAAATAAATAAAGAACCGAAAGCAAACATAATAATTTGTTTTTGTTTTTTTTTTTGACAAAGTCAGAGAGAAGATGAAACATTTTTTTAAGTAAGAAAGAAACCGAGATTACTGTTACTGTAAAAGTCAGTATTTTAGGAAATATTTCTGAACATGGTATATATATTTTTATCCTGCCAATTTGATTGAAATCGTGGATTTTTATATTAGAAAATCCTTAGGTGGTCAAATAGTGGTCAAAATTAATTCGACATATAACATTTTATTATTCTTAATCCCTGTTAGTTGTCCGTACTCCATACTCCATATAATATCGTTTATCATCTATTATCAATCCAGAATAGTTAACTTTACACAAAACAATAAAAAGTTAAGCAAATAATAACTAATCCATTTGTACTAAGTGATTTAGATCCTCATACACCTAATTATATTCAATGTGATAAATCATAGAGTGGGCTGAGCTGTTGCCTTCTATAGAAATGCGAGCCCATTGCTTGATCTTATAAAAGCTTGACTGATACTGAAAGTCAGTATACCCAAATAAAAAAAAAAATTACAAAGTATATTGTTTTCCAGTAGAAAACTCCATAACTTTATTTATGGTTATCATACTACTGTATGAACAGATTATTCTCCTTTGACTTCAATCATAAAAAAAAAATGTTGATAGAATGATTTCTAATAGGTTACAAAAGATGAAACTGAAATTAATAATATATGATTTAGAGGAAAAGAAATGCATATTATATTGCTGGTCTTTTGTTAAGCAATTATATACTTGAGCCTACATTACAAAGCAAGATTACATTACAAAACAAATAAAATTAGTCAATATCAATTGAAAATCGATTTGTTCAATAACCTAGAAAAAAAATAGGACAATAAACTAAAGATTGAATTCCGATATTGAATTCCAAGTAAATTTGCCAGGATTTTCAACACTTTTACGTTTCACGTATCTTATATACACATCATATATAAATATCCCCCAACTGCCTTTACTATAATGATGTCGACTAAAATATATAAATAAAAACATAAAATTAAACTCCAAAGAAAATATTGGTTAAAATTTAAATACTTGTACAGCCCCCCATAAACAGTCACTAAACATTTAATGAATCAATAGTGAGCTAATAGTTGAATGATATAATTAAGTGACCCGTGATTGATCAATTTAAGTAAAACCATAAAATTAATCAATTTTTTCAGCTTTGAAATGTATTTAATAGTTTATAAGTTAAACATTGTACAATTTTGCTATATGTTTTTATTGTTGTTTGAAGATGAGATTTTTGTCTTTGATTTTTGCTTTGTAATGTAGGATTAAGTAATTACTTGATGATTTCAGACAGAAGAATGAATCTATTGAACATATTATTAGATAATAGTACTGAACTTATTACATTTAAAAATGTAATAAATAAACATATGATCACAGATTACTTCATTTGATATCTCTAATTAGGGTAAATTTCACACTACTTATTCTTAGCACATAATTCAAAAACTAAATTTAATTATTAAAATATAATAATTTATTTTCTTTTGGTGATAAAGTACACTTTGTACAGTTAATTATATAAAACAATACATCTACATTGATTACAGTAATAAAAAAAATTATTATTGCTAAAAAAATAGTCAAATTTAGATATTATATTCAGATTACAATTTATTTTAATTATAATGAAAAAAAATTATATTATATATATATATATTATAATAACATAATTTATATATAATAACAATAAGAACTACATTGGCCAAATGGTTTTCAATTTCAGTGCTTATCATTTTAAAACGATGTGGAAATTAATGCATTTTTTGCAATTTAAAAAATATAATTTAATATTATACACATTTACTAATAGAAAACCAAAATTATCAAACTGAACCATAATGAATAAACAACACTAAAAACAAAGAAATATCACCTATTATTAATTTTGTTGTACTATACGTCTTATAATTAAAATAAAATTAGTTGTCTGATTAGATGTAAACTTTAATATATTAAAAACAGGGATATATGAATTTGTTTTACCATTTTTAAATATAAAAGGTTCATGTTCCACTGTGTTCATCAATTTTATAAAACAATTGACAACAAATTTTGAAAGGTGATGTCTCAACACTATTTTAGTGAACATTATCAACTGTTAGGAATAATCAAATTTATGTCCTGAACCAATATATTTTAAGTTTTAATTATTATTTTATCAAACAATTAATTAGTTAAAGATGGTGAATCAGTGAAATTGAGAGGATGAATGAAAATTATGTCAAATAGTTATTTAAAATGCTATTAAATATGTAAATTAAATTAATATAGACAGATTTAAATAATTAATTTGATATAAAAATCTCAAATCTACTTTTGAAAAAACAAAATTTTCTTCAGAATAATTTTATCCATTTCATTAATTTTTATGGAGAATATAAACAAAGCAGAAAATATTACCCATATAATTAATAAAATATGAATAAATTTAAAAAAAAAAGGTAGTTTACTATACTCTGTTCCATTTAAGAATAAGCTACTTACGCGCAGACTAAGTCACCGATCACAATCTCATCCCCCCGGACAATGGCTATGCATTCGGTGAGTTACCGCCTGCAGTGATCGAGTCGTTAACGCCGGCTCTCCCGCGGTGCATACAGAAATTCTTTAAAATATCGCTGTTTTGTGCAATTATTAAAGAATAACAAAAAGTACAAATAAAAAATGTAATAATTCGCAAAGGAATATTAATGTATGTTAACAAAATAAGTGTGATAATCACAAGAGTAAACTTAGTAAACTTAGCAAGTGGAATCAAATAAGTGATAGTGTAATAATACAGTTCACCATGTAAATAGCTGTAAAGGAACAAAGTATAGTAACCTTAATTTAATGTTTTCACAAAGATGTAAAATGGTCATAGGAAATAACTTTCTCTGCACTATACCAAAATGTGACCTACTATATCTTTATTTGTGGTTATCTACCCTATAGTATTAACTTAATATAATCAATCTACAAACACAACTAAATTAACGTAATAAACTAAACTTTGTAATAATATATAATATTAATAGAGTAATAATGCTTCACTTAATATAACAAAACATTTAAAGCTCAATTTATAAGTTATTTATATATTTAAAGAACAATTATGTTATCACTGCAACTAATTCTTACACTTATTATAAGCATGTAGGTCACTCATTGGTATAATGTTTTTTCTTTGGTTGTTCTAATTTTGATTATATTAAAATGTGTATCTAATTTAAAATGCATCAATATATATTTTTACCCACAGTAAAATGTATGCTATTATTGCTATAAATATTAACTGTTTAACTTAGTCAGTAATAATATACTACTTAGCACAGAGTACAACCAAATATCATTTGTATGATTTTTTTCCAGTGAATAAATAACAGAAATGTATATAAAAAAAATAAGGGTTGCTATAAGAAAATATATGTAATGAATATGATTAAATTAAAAATTATGTATTTATATTAATATTAAGTTTTGTCAATTGATTTTAATTTTAGAAAAAGTATGTTTTCGCAATTTATTATTTAGTATAGCATTTGTATAATTTTGGTTAACGTGTCTAATGAAAAATAAAATAAATGTAAGGAATGTCTTATGAATGAAATCTAAAGAGCTTTACTTTAATTTTGTCCCACATTGGTAACATCTTGGAAGCAGTTCATTAGGTTAACAGAATTATTTTGTACCAATTATTATAAAAATAAAAAATAAAAATAAAACATTAAACATAGAACATTAAGAAGAATGACGGCTTTAATGACAAAATAATCTGTTACAGTACATAAATCAAAAAAATGTATAATAATATTATTTAAAGATCAATCAATACACTTTAAAAACTAAAGATATTTCTTGTTAGGAGTGATGCCACACACTTGTTCTCTATCTTACAAATGAACATAGTAAACTTGGGTTTAGCTGTTCCAGTTTAGTGTTATTAGTGTAAATATTTAATACATGAATAATAA